TTCAAACATTTGTAGTGACCTGATGTGAGCGACTGGCTTAACAACAACTTTCTCCTTGTGCACCAGTTTGAACGTTTCTCTTCATTTATAAATAAAGATTGATTCAGTACTTTTTCCCTTGCAGGGCTCGCTCAGGAAAGAATTCCCCGTCAACATCGGAGGCAGCGACGTTTGTTTCTTCTGCCGAAAACGCGTGTACGTGATGGAAAGGCTGAGTGCCGAGGGGAAGTTCTTCCATCGCAGCTGTTTCAAGTGCGACTACTGCGGCACGACTCTACGGCTGTCCTCTTACGCGTTTGACGTCGAGGACGGTAAGCTTTCCAAATGGTTTCAGCCCCACGTGTGCTTATATTCCATTAACTACAAGGTGAAATAGACTGAAATGATCTTGAGTACGATATAGTGACTAAAGTGTAAAGCTGCAAAGATGATTCTTCGTTTGAAGACATGCAATCTAGAAATGATTTTGACTGCGTGCTCGTTTGCTGCCCTCCTGTGGTGTGATCACGCCATGACCTCTCAGCCTTTTTTTTTGAGCCGAGGAATGCAGCAGAGCCATTTCCTGATTCAAAAAATGAAGTTACAGCCACATAATTTTTCAAAATTTATTGGTTTTAAATATGTAAAAGACAGCTGTAGGAGATTTTTGCGGTAACCCCCACCTCGGACTCAGTGCAGTCTTATGATTCCATATTTTTCCACGCTGGGAGGTGTCTATTGTGCTCAAGGACAGGCAACAGATTGTTCAGTGACACAGTAGCTTTTTCACAGTCAGCTGTGGGAAACAAACCTCCTGATTTCTCTGAATGCACTTGAGACAGAAAGGAATTGTTTTTAGATGCAGCCCACAGACTCCGTGAGGTGAAATTTGCCGAATGCATTTATTTGTGCATTTAATGTATTTGCTTATGCTCTGTGTCTCCTACAGGAAAATTTTACTGCAAGCCCCACTACTGTTACCGCCTGTCTGGGTATGCTCAGAGGAAGAGGCCTGCTCCCTCTGCTGCTCCAGTCACAGCCAAGGTCCATTTTTATTTACTTAAAGAAATCCTGGTGGAAATCAGGATAAGGCTGGAAAAATGATCCGAGAGTGATCTCATATCTCCGATAGTGCGGCTGATGCTAAAATCATTTGTGTCATTCGCAGGAGAATCAGACCCCCCAAATACCTACTACGACCGTGGATGCCCCTGGAAGGGCGATGGCAGCAGCTGCCCCCTCGGCTGACCTCCAACCCTCAGGTACTCGACTTTCCTATCTAGCTGTGGCGGCTGCGCCCTGGCGTCTGGCCGTGGGTGTGGGAGTCCAGCTAGGCACCCTCCGCCGCACTCTCTCCCGGACCTGCCACCAGGTGGCACACAACCCCTTAGATTCTCCCTTCCTGTTTACCTACTGCATCTACCTCTTCTGCTGTTTCACCATCAATGTCCTGCTCAGCCTCCTCTAGCATGACTTTTGTGTCCCTTCTTATTTCCTTCCTTGCTTCCTTTTTCTCTTTGCCGACTACTGCCAGTGGGATGTATCTAGATTTAGTTTGTACTGAGTGACCAAAGCTTGAAAATGGTCCTGTAAATACTGTGAGTCTCTCAGTTGCTGAATTATTTCCTGAAGATGCAGCATTCTTTCTGTTTCTGTTGGCAGGATCTTTATGACTTGTGATTGGCAGATGGATTCAAACAGTGCTCTGGCGCCATAATCTTAGAAGTGAATGGTGCATCTTAAACCTGTTTGTTTCTTGGCTTGGAAATTATAGAGAGCTGCTCAGAAATCCTTCTGGTCAGCTCTCCAGGCAGCACCATTAACCCTTTGCATAGACCTCATTGCTTTTCTGGTTTTTACTGTGAATGTGGAAGTAAAGTTTAGCTTTCTTAGCCCCCCAAAAATATATATCAGTTACCCACTGGTGTGTACATTCAATCTCTATACACTGTTAATGATTGATATAGAGCTGCCTGTTTTTAATGAAGAGCCAAGCTGTACTCTTTGGTGATTGTAACCCCGAGTGGCCTGTGAGTGCTCTTTTTTTAGCTCGACCTCCTCCTGTGTGACGTGTTTGTTTTACTGCCTGCTCTGTGACGTGTTTCTTTCTCTGTAAGTTGTTTTGCACCTATTAGTGTTCCTCTTCCTAAAACTCACTATTACATGTGATAAAGTGCCTGTATCAGTGCTGTTGTGAGCTTTACCTTTCCCCTTCCGATCAGAGCATCTTAAAACTGAGAGCTTTACTACTGCTTGCATTGGTGCTTGGGACTGGAGTTTTGTTTTCACCCCCCTTCCTCTGCCTTCCTGCATTCCTCAGCCTTTAACACCCCCCGACAGATTCCTGCCAGAACCACTTGTATTTGCTCGACGTAGTGCGTCTCATCTGCAGTAATTGCTTTGCACACTGTAGCTGAATAAAATCACGGATTAGACTAGAGAGAGCTGAAACCGGTAAGCTTTGCAGAAAATTAATATTTGAAACTTTAATAAGTGTAAGTGTTAATAAGCGTAGGCCTGCCGCAATGTGGCAAGTGTAGTTTATAACTTCAGATGCAAGACTTTATTAAATACTGCAGCCGTGCATACTATAATATATTCTACATTAAAATTAGACGACAAACAACTGCTAATATATTGGTGGAGGTTTGCAGTTAGTGTAAAGTGCTGTAGAACAAAGCAGGTCTATGCATCCGTCAGATATATATCCACAAATACACATGCATTATATGGTAAGGACGTCCCATGCTGCTGCAAAGTTCAGCAACTGTGGAGTTCTTGGACCACTAAATTAGTGTTAGCAAAATAATAAGAGTTAGACCACTAAACCAAAATAAACCACACAAAAACCAAAACAGACCCCCAACTGCTGACAGAAGTCCAACCCTGGACTATATCAGATGAAGTAATTACAGTGTTTAGTGATGTAGGTTATTAAAGTATAAATATGTATCAGTTTAAATTTAAATCTCTCTCTTCTTTGCTGTTTTACGTACTTTTCACTTGTTTTTGAGGAAACATCTATTCATATGAGTCACACATACAAAATAAACACGATTCAGTGTCAAATATCACACGTTTAATGAGATCATGGGACTTTAAGGCATTGGCCTTAAAGCAGTGCTAGTGCTCTTTTTTTCAATTAGATTTATCTCCAAGTGACAAGATGACGGCTGCACTTCCACGACAACAACAACACATAACTCTATTTTAACCCATTTCACTGTCATGAACCTTTGCCAGAGGAAATATTGTCAAAACATACAGTTTTAAGGTTTGCTTCTCAGAATGGGAACAAGGCAAGGCACCAATCTTGTACATTTAAGTATAGAACAATGGCTCTATTTTAAAGTGTGAAACCTATTTGTGTTTGTTGATCTTATTTGCTGTAGGAATATTATCTAATGCAATAAATTCAGTAATAGATCTTAAATCGGTGTCTCCTTGTCAGTTTGTCCTTAATGTACGAGATTACTTTGGTTAAAGTTCTGGCTGCAGATGTGGATGGAAATGCATCATTTTACTAGTTGGATGTGTGATGGAGTTGATGCTGTCGCCGACGTAGCTTCACACACACACTGTCAGAATTTGCATCGGTTTTCACATCAGCGTTCACAAATACATTTGATTTAGTTTGGTTCTTCTTGCACCTGCCTGATCATCACCTGCACGTATGTGCTCTCTCTCCTCTGCTTCCTTACCTTGATCCTGCACCCCACAGTGCTGGAAGTGAACGGCCTGCAGGAACCGAGCCTAGCTAAACGCCTAAAGGGAACTCCAGAACGCATTGAGCTGGAGAACTACCGTCTGTCCCTGCAGAGGGAGGAGGAGCTGGAGGAGGTGCCTGAAGAGACGCTGGCGGAGCACAATCTGAGCAGTGTGCTGGACAAGGCCACAGATGCTGACCTGGGTTCTAGGTAAGATTATAACAACATCCGTTAATTTCTTTTTTATGATATTCAGTTTTAATCCTTAAATGCACACGTGGGGTCAAAAATGACTGAATATGAATATGATTTATAGTCAGGGCGGCACATAAGTGGTCTGCAGGTGTGCATTCGCTGTCAAAAAAAAAGTATTTCCAGAAATTCAGAGAATACACGCTTCTTTTGTGGTGGAGGAACACCAAAGTAATTGCTTATGGAGCTTCCTTCTTCGACATCTTTAAGAGTTCTGAACAAATGTCTGTCCTCCTCCAGAACATCTAATGTACGCAAACGAGCGTTGCAACTTCTTATCTGGTATGCGTTTATTTTGACAGCAAATGTGCACCTGCGGACCATTTATGTGCAGCCCTGTTTATAGTTTCCTGTGCATTTCAAACATTGTCCTTTCTGATTTTTTTTTTTTTAATATTTAAAGTAACATGGCTGCTATGAGGCCAGCTAGGATCCCTGTGGATCTTGCCCTACAAATGATCCAGGACGGATGGGATGAAGAGCCCATCGGAGGCACTGACTCAGAATCGGACATCTCAGATATAGAGTACCCAGACTATTGTCTGGGTACTCTATATAGATGCAGAAATTCATCCTCAGTGATTGTGTTACAGTGGATGAACAACTTGTGCCTTTCAGAAGGAAGGCCCAGCTTCTGCAGTATATGCAGAGCAAGCATACAAAAGTGATACAAAAACTGCAATTTCTTAAAATTAATGAAAAAAATAAATAAAAATGCAAAGGGCCTCATGTCACAAACATGTTTTATGAGGAATAACTCAAATATGAAAATATTACAACTCTTCGTTTTAAAGATTTTGAAGAATAACAACCGAGTTTATAGCAAAATGCATTGTTTCTATTTGGGGTCATTTTTGACCCCACTCGTGGAAGAGTGTAGGTACTGGTAGGTTGTGCATTCAAGGGTTAAACAAGTTTCAACTCTTTGGACGTCCTTAAAATAGTCGCGTCATGCAAGCAGCTCTGGCTATGCGCACAGAAGCTCCACCCACTCTTTAATTAAACCTTTTGTTCGTGACAGTTAGCCAATCATGATAAAGTGGGATAGAAAGGAAGTGGGAGGAAGCTAAAAACATCTTAGTTGGGATTAACTGTGGGGGTTCACCAACGAGCAGTTTGTCTATTTTGAATCACAGAAAACGTCTTTGCTTGAGTCCAGAATCCCCCAGGCTGCTGTGAACGTCTCCGTACTTGTACTGTCCTCAAACACTTGCTTCCTTTCATGTTCCCTAACACTTTGCTGACGCCTTTCCTCTACTTTCTGCAGTAGCTCAGAGTCAGACATGGAAGAGGAGGACGAGCAGGAGGATCAAGAAGAGGTGGAGGAGCAGCTTCCCAGCCCGTCAGACCTCGGCGGCGTTCCGTGGAAGGAGGCGGTAGAGCTCCACGCCAAGCTGAGGGGCGATAACTGCGAGGAGGGAGAGGGTGACGCTTTGGCTGACACGGGCAGCAGAGACGGGGAAGTAGATGAAGAGGAGGAGGAGGACGAGGAGGATGAAAATGAGGCCGAAGAAGATGAGGAGTCGAGCGAAGGTAAATTAGTTTTGCATCGTTATTCCCGGGATAGTGGAAATTAATGGTTTCTTTACGCTAATGTGTTTACACCCGATCCAGACTTCAGCGGCCTTGACCTCAGAGCTCCGTGTTGTTTACTGTTTCGTGTTATCGTCACTGAGTCTTCCTCGTGTCTCTTTTCTGCTTGTCTGCCACGTCCACATACGATGCACGCGTATGTCTCTGTCTCTGTGTCATTTTATTTTTTGATTTATTTTTGGGGGGCCTTTGTCTCCCCCTGCTGACAGAGGGGGATTACTGGCCCTGGGATAGAGAGCTCCAGTCAGGCCTTTGGCTGGAGAAGTACCTTACAGACGAAGAGGATGTTGGTACATTTAAAGGTAGCAACAGAAGTGCCTGCGGATGTGTTTGCAGTTACTTTTAATAATTCTGCCTTGTTTGGGTTTCATTTTTAATCATTTCTACAAGAAGTGTGCCTTTGGCTTCTTTATGGTTTGGTTTGTTGTGTTTTTATGTGAGTTTTGTGTTCATCAGTGTTCCCTTTTCATCGTCAGTCCCGTTCCATCTAACCTTCTGTCTCAAACCTCTGGAGTGGCATTAAAATACTAATCTGATGAATCAGATGTGATTATCTCCCCCACGGCGCTGCAGTTATGTTTTACAGCTGTGTGACGGAACTGTTATATTTAACAAATGTGTTATTATTTTGTTTTCCAAGCTTTGTACCCTTGAAGCTTACTTTTATGGTTTTTGCAGTGTATTGCATGCAGCCTCCTTTCATTTCTCTTTAATGATTTTTTCCCGTTGTCACTGTATAACTGTCTCTTTGCCTTTTCTCTTCCATTTTTCCCTGTTTTTTCCTTCCTTCCTTCCACAACTACCCTCATCTCTCTTTATCTTCCTCTCCTAACTCACACAACTTTACGCTACGCAAAAAATACAAAATCGCAACACTTACATTTAGCGAGGAATCTCCACATCCGACAAGTCCTGCAGCCTGTGGATCCCAGCGCCATTCCAGGTTTGAGAGCACATCTGGAGTCTGAGGGAGACAAGGATGATGGCCAGCTGGCCTCAGCCTCCCAACTCTCCCAGCCCTCTGAGCTCACGCAGCCCTCCTCTGCAGGTAACCCACCCGGGGGCCTATACGCCTGGGAAGGCCGTGGGTCTCGCCATGTTCAGGATCAGGCTGTCTCATTTTGCAAGTGTGGCTGCTGCTGCTGTCCTGTTTGTCTGTGTCTGCCACAGGTGGACCCCCAGCTTGTTGTTTTGAATTACCTCTGATTTGTACATTTGTGTAACATTGCTTTATTTCTCGGAATGTCTAATTTTGTGTCATTCAGAGTCACTGTTGTTCCTCTGGGGCGAATATAACGCTCTCCAAACGCATCCCAGTGCGCCATTTAACCCTCTCCTCAGTTCCTTTGATTTGATTCTCTTTTGTTCTTTTGTGTTCTCCCATGTTATTTCTCATGTGTCTAATTGCTTTACTGTTATTTCCCCGCCATCTATCCCTCGTCGTTCTGTATCTTCTGGTTTGAGTGTAGCCCCTGCCCACACATCCGCCCGACACGAGGCAGTGAGAGTCTGGTTGGAGTCCCTGTCTGGAGGTAGCACAGACTCTAAAGGGATCCCGACATCCCGTCTTAGACTCCTATTCTGTCTGTCAGCTGGGCTGGCCTCTTTTCATGGAGCATGCACAAACACATGCAGAGACCAGTAAACTCACAAGCATGCCTGCTGTAAGGCTGTCGCTCAAGTGTTTTTCTCTCCTGGGTTCAGATCAGCACTTGTGTTTCACCTTTTGTAACCAAACCTCACATTCTACTCTTCTAATTTCCAAAATATGTATTTTCCTTTGCACTCGCTCTGTATGTTGTGCTGTAAAGTAATATATTCCGGGGAGTGAGTTATCAAGCTTTGAAACCACAAGGCACCACAGCTTTGGGAGCTCGCCTCTTAATGGCACTTGTACTTGCATTAAGTTCACAGAATGTGGGTGTTGAAGTACATTATCAGCTGATTAAGAGCTTGAATGAATTGAATGAGAGTCCTGCACCTCTGTTTGAAGTCCTCGTGTAAGCCTTGAGTTCAGGGTTAAAGGCCCAGCAAAGACCTCCGGCAGAGATCAGACCAATTACAAAGATCTTTTAGTAGTTTATGTGCCCGTGCACTCGGAAGA